AGGGTGTGACAACATCCGGCCGGCTGCTTTGAAACAATGGGCAGGTATCCTATGCAGTGCGCTCTGTGATCTGTTCCAACACTCCTTAGACAAACACATGCTTCCGCGAGAATGCAAGCGTGCTACACTCTTCGGTCTTCAGAGGAGGAGACAGGGAGGACCTGAAACTCTGCTGATCCATGGCATTTCTACCGACGCTGTCTAAAGTAATGGAGAGCCTGTTAGATGACCATGTCAGAGAAAACTTAAACCACAGGACAGTGCTGAGGGATACTCAGCATGGTCTTAGAAGAGATAGGTCCTGCGCCTCAAACCTTTTGGTGGCTGGTGATAGTTGAATGGAGTGATGGGACCCTCAAGTCCCTGTACTCGTTATGCTCCTGGATTTTGCTGAGGTCTTTGATACGGTCTCGCACACCATTCTCATCCGCAAAATATCAAGGTCGGACATCGGCAGTTCTCTTGGACACGGGACTCTTTAGATGGTAGAGAATTCTGCACGAAATTCAGCAGGGTTCGCCCGACTTCGAGGGCATCACCATGCAGTGCATCACAGAAGGCGATTCTGGGTCTGCTGCCGTCCCTTCTTTTTGTCAGAGACCTCCTACTGAGCCTCAACTCATCGATTCCACTTTATGCCGACGATGTTAAGCTGCGGAGAGCTGTGACATCTGCGGCAGAATCAAGCGCACTGCAAAGTGATCTCAGATCACTTGTAGGGTTGGTGGATAATAAGGGGTCGGTATTTAGTCTGGATGGGTGGTGAGCCATGTTTCTTTGCATCCTGACTCTCAGAAAGTATCCTGCTGTCTCTGTGGAAAGCAAGTTTTCCGCGCCACGAAGGAGAAAGGCATGGGACTAACACTGACTGATAAGTTAGACAGCGGCTCCAGCTACCCGGGAAATGCCTCCAGTGCCGACAAAGTACTGCGCTTCATGCGCGGACAAATAGGTGCCATCACTCCGGAACCCCTTCTGAAACTGTACAGAACCTACATACGCTCTCACTTCGGGGCCCATGACGTCACTCCACCACCATACCTGAAAAGAGATGTGGATCCCCTAGAGGTGAGTAACAAAGGGTGTTGCGGGAACGGGGCAAAAGCCCTATGAGGGTATGCTGGAAAACCTAGGGCTTAACTCTGTTGGTCTGACCAACTTTCCGGTGGCACGACACTAGGGGAGCCCGCAGCCCTTGGAAAACCACACAATCCCTACAAATTTAATCAACATCCAACAGCCTTTCCAGCAAAACGGAGCTACATCGGACGAGCGGGTAAACTTACTGCATCAAAATCCACTAAAGACATGTAAACGTTCCGCAAGGTCTGGGAGCGAGCACAAAGAAGTCAGTTGGTTTACACTGGCTCGCATAAAGATATTGGAAACTATTGGTGACTGGACAAAAATATTCTGTTTCAAGATCTTACAATCGCCCGCGTCCTTTGAATACTGACGTGGTTTGTCTTCTCTGTTATACTGGGAAATAGCTTTATATACACCTTCCCAATTGGATATTTCCTCCACGAAAGTTACAGTTTTAACCGGGAAAGCGTTTCGCTACAGGATGTACAGCTCTCAGTCAGTCAGTACTATCACTCTCCACGCGGACAACTGTGTAGTAGGTCTAACCGCCCTGATCAACTGCTATAGCTCAGGTTGCTGCAACTGCAGAGCTACTTATCTTATTCGATATTGGAAACTATTGGAAACTATTTCTTCTTCTTCACTTTTCTATACCCTATATTATAATTTTTTCCTCTATTTTTTCTTCTTTATTCTCTCTTCATTCCTTTACCACTACCTAACTATTCTCTTTCAGCTACCTATACAGACAGGAGTCACTGCAGTTCTCTAAACATCCCAGCAACCCGTAGCTCCCTAATCACTCTACAAATTACAACCTACTAACCCACAAAACATCCACCTCACCGAAGCTAAAAGCGAGAAAGCAGAGGGGATTTCCTGGTCCACTGCAGGAGTGAACCGAACAATTCGAACCAAGCCCGAATAACTAGACGCGAAAGATCAAAAACTACCAGTTTTCTACGCTCGCACTATCAATATTGGATACTGGATATTGGACAAAAATATTCTGTCTTCAAGGTGCGCTCCTTGAGTAGTGACGTGTTTCGCTCGTCCCTCAGCTTTTGGATTTTTCCACAATGAAAAACTCCCACTTGCAATACTCAATCTAAAAACATCGAACGTTTGCAGCACTTCTGTCCGTCCACGCACCTCACCGCTGCATATTCGTCAGCCCACTTCTCAACAGTTGAAAATTGGCATTATTATTCCTTTGAACCAACCGGTCCACCTCCTGTCAGTGGTTCTTGGGCGTTTCAACTGCCAAACTGCCTTAGCTCTCGGTTCTCCTCGGAGGTCATTCCCCAGGAAGTATCTTCCCTGGTTATACATACGCATCTGGAGCTTACGGTTAAACTCGTTGGTCAAGAGCAGAGGATCAAGTGACAAGTGTCTGAAGGTGAGCCAACATAAATTATCTTCCCTTTTCTATTCTGTCCTTTTGCTGCATTCAGTCTTCAACCCTCTTATTGTTGTTAACTACTTGTTTTCCCAAGAAGTTTATATCATGGCGACATGTCTGCCCAAAACGCTAGGTCTGAAGCTTTGACACGGATAACGCGGTCGTGCACAACAACGGCCAGTAACACCCTAGACAACACACTAGTCTGTACTAGAAGACAAACAGAGGTGGGGCAGAACACCGAACTTCTAAAGACGTGGCCAACCCATGTTTCTAGAATTCCAGTAGCCATCAGACAGGTGACACAGAGTAGCACTCACCCGTCACAAACTAGTCCTATCTTGAGCAAGGATCATACCATGCCTGAAAACAGAAGACGACGTAAAAAGCTTCAGAACAAGGCAGCCACAAGCAGTTCGCCACAATCCGTAGCACCTTATTCATGGAAGGAAGGCTGTATTACGACACCCGATGGCTGCAGTGTTTGCACCAAAGTTGTTTCGGTAGTCAATGAGGCATTTGCATGCAACCTGTGTCAACGATGAGCGCATTGCCACCGCAACACCAGAGTCCCCCGACAATACTATAAGCTGATGAAGAGGCAACCATGCAAGTGGTTCTGGTACATCTGTCCAGAGTGCAGGAAAATGCCCGCATTCCTCACAGAAAGCCTGAAGGAGATGCTCTCCGCCGCGCAAAAGCCACCAGCAAACTCGAATAAAGTAGGGTTAACACCAAAAGATAACACAGAGAGACCTGGAAACAGACCTAGAGCTCCAGCTGCGGTACGCCACCTCGCGTGGGGACCATATTAGGTCAAGTCTCCATACCCCGTGCCCGGCCCCAGGGGACGTCAAGTGCATGGCCAAAGACATCGACTGCCGAAGCCTCTACGAAACCCATTCCAAACACCCCACACACCGTGACTGAGAGACAACCAGTGGAATTACTCAAACCCATTGGGAAGTCGGGCGCGCCACCCACAACGAATCCAGGTCACAGGAGGACCAACTCGATCATTTTGTTCAACGTCGATATATCGACAGACTCATTGTTGGTCGAGAGGGAACAATTTGACAGCCGAATGTGGACCGACTACTGTCAGATGCTGGGACTCCCTCCTCTCCCTGCAACTTTATGTCGGCTTTCTCGAGGAAGCCGTGCACCCCGAGATAAGCCACCCCCTTTACGTGTGTCCCTAAATACCGCCGAAGAGGCTGAAGACACATTCCTTCTCTCACGACAACCGGACGTTGTTAATGCCTGTAAAATTTGGGCCAGGCCTGACAAGCCATGGTCAATAAGAGGGGAGGAGAGAAAGTCAGCGGTTGGGAATCCCAACAGAAACAACACTATAGTTGTACATGGGATTCCAGAATTGCCAAGTGACAGCTCGGTCAAAGATCGGTACTTCCACGACGTCCAACAATGGCAATGGCCCTCAACCAAAGTTGGTCTCAACAGTATACCGGCCAACAGCGTCAGTAGACTGCCAAGGCCAACGCACCTGAAGACCATACCCAGTCCCAGACTACTCGCTGTCCAGTTCGACTCATATGCCTCCCTCACAGACGTTCTGCAAGCATGGTATAATGCGAAGGATGGCATGGGTGGCTCAATACGTATATGTGAAAGTAATCCTAGACCCACAAGGCAAGAGTAGAGACGGCAACCACCAAGACCTCTGGAGTCAGTGGTCGTCACACAGGCGCTGACCAGTGAGTTAGATACATCAAGTAAAGAAGCCACCACTGCTACGGCCCCCACCCAAGTTAAGAACAAAACACAAAAAACGGAACAATGCCAGTCCTATGAGGACTGGCGAGGCTAAAATCAACCACGTAAGCGCTCATCCCTCGAAAATACACATCCAGACCTCTCCTCTCATCAGGCACACTCTAATATGTATGTACAGCAACGTTAGGGGGCTAAGAGGGAAGGTAGCAGAAATGAGGACGCTGCGTGAACATAAGCACTACGACATCATATTCATCACCGAATCCTGGCTCACACTGGACATCTCCGACGAAAAGATGCGTGTTGCTGGTATGGAACTCTTCCGCAGGGACAGGGAACATAGAGCAGGAGGGGGAGTGGCTATCTACGTAAACTCCTGTTTAAAGGCAAGGATGGTTAGCGATACGGCCTTAACCCAGCTCCCAGAGTCTCTATGGTGCTACTTCACTCTCTTCTTTATTCTCTCTTCATTCCTTTACCACTACCTTACTATCCTCTTTCAGGTACCTACACAGACAGGAGTCACTGCAGTTCTCTAAACATCCCAGCAACCCGTAGCTCCCTAATCACTCTACAAATTACAACCTACTAACCCACAAAACATCCACCTCACCGAAGCTAAAAGCAAGAAAGCAGAGGGGATTTCCTGGTCCACTGCAGGAGTGAACCGAACAATTCGAACCAAGCCCGAATAACTAGACGCGAAAGATCAAAAACTACCAGTTTTCTACGCTCGCACTATAAATATTGGATATTGGATATTGGAAGGTCTTGACGTTATTTAAACTGGTTTGTTGAGAATCGTTGCTGTTGTGACTTTGTCGGTTTGTAAGTGTGACCAAGTTAGTGTTACACTCCACAGGGTTCATGCCCGACGCAAATTCATATAGGCATTGTAATTGAGGATGGAAACTAGTCTTTATGATTAGGAGGGGCTATTTAACTTACGTTTACAGTTTTTCAGTTGATTTGGGTCTGATACATAGTTTAACAATAATAACCCGCCTCACTTCAGGACACTTATGTCCGTTGGTCTTGTCAAATTTGAATATACACCTCATGCTTCAGTTAGTGTCTCGTAATAAGAAAAGTGATGGGCGATGCATATGTCAAACTACGAATTGATAAGTCATCCGACATCAATAGTCCGAGTAGAGGAAACCTGCTCTGGCTTCTAAGTCTTGAGGCTTGGTTCCTTTCGTTCGGTTGTACTCCTTCGATGGTCGCAGAAGTCTGCGTTTTCCTGCTTTTGCCTTTGGAGGTAGTGATTGTCTGTTCGAAGGTATTTTATTTGCAAATTGTAGCTTGGTTTATTTTAGGGGGAGGGGGATGGGGCAACGGAGCTGCTGATGAGATCAATTAATCGTTTGCAAGCACCTGGAAGTAAGTATTAAGCACTACTTAAAAAGTGCTAGAAATAGGGTGAGTGGGGAATGAGAAAATGAGGAGTGAAAAGTACTTGTGAGAAGACGAGTGTTGCTGGTAATAATATGGAGGAGAGATGCGTTTTATTGCAGATATTAGGGTTAGGGGAAAAGGGTATGGAGGGGCGTATCATGAGTTGCTAATGACAAGTGTTCGTGGTGAGCCATTTGTGCTCACATGTTCATCCAGTTGTCGTTTGAAGGAGTTGACTGATGCAGCTGTGACTACTTCCTTCGGCAGAGCGTTCCATAAGGCACACACTCTGTGGCATAAATTCGATCTCACTCATGACCACTTTTTGATCGTAAAGCGTTAGCACAATGCTGAAAGATGATTTAAAGGAGGATGGGAACCATTAAGTGGGTGTGAATGATGGTATGATCAACGGTAGTTGCAGTTTTTGACGACCTAAATTTAATAGGCACGGTATTTGTGACACAAAATCCTACATGCTAGACGTGCTTTCTGTGATCTCTTCTTCGTTGGTGTAGTTTCTTGTTTTATCTTCAAAGACCGACTGTTCTGACTAGACAAGTCGAGATATGCTTTATAAAAAGAATGAAGTTGGGAAGACATTACACATGTGAGTGCTTCTCACTGATGTGACACTTGTCTTTGCCGTGGTAAGTGATACGTACCATGAATATGACCGGTGAGTAAAGTTTGATGTATCACCGACTAATGAGTTTGGTGGCGCTCGAATAGCAACTTCAAGATTTTGAATTCAGTCCGAAACTCAATAAGAAGTCAATAAGATTTCAGTCCTCAAACTCCCCTGCAAGTTTAGGCAAAGACGTTTGTGGACTCCTTGGTTTCAGTCTTTAGTCTTCAAGAGCGTTTATTCTCCCTAGGCATGCGTAGACTTTATGTCCTCCTTTGATCGCCACCAACTCCCTTCTTCAACTTGTATTACTTGGCACCCAAGTAAACCTGTGTCTCACTCATTGCTGTAGATGACGGAAGACTAGTACTTCTCCTGCTCGTTTATACTCCGCTTCAGCCCCAAGGTCTTATGGTTAGCCTTTCCACATTCGGAGTTTGTTGAGCTATTATGTGCGATTCTAAATAAGCTCTGCAACAGACGAACCCATCGTTGATAATTTGAATAAGATAATGTTATCCCGAGTTTATTGACGTGGGTTGGTGGGATGGCACTTGCAGTCACCTGTAAATCAGATCATTTTCATGAAGCGTCAATGCAGCTGTATAGGGATAACTACCTGTGATATGTCCATCCATTTCAGAACCACTTTTTATTGAGCGCTTTCAGCCTATTTGATCGGATCAGCCTATCGACCCGTATTGCTAAACCTAACCATATTAGCCTGTAACATGGGTTGATTTCTGATTGCATCTATTATCAGTCTTCACACAGCTCGTGTCACTCCTTGATAACGTCTCAGAATAGGTGTTTAGAACATTTTAAAGAACATTTCAGCCACGCTTCAGTTGACCAGCATTCAGTCCAAACCTGAATCGGACATATATGTTGACTCTTCGAAGTTCAGGTTATTTTAAACCCCAAAATACATTGTCTTCTGAATGCCTTGAGCATAAATCTGACAGGTGTCACACCTGCCAAATGTAAGATGGTTCCTGAAGACTTGTCTGCACCGGCTTTTAGTTTAAGGGTAGGAAATGAGATGATAGTTTGCATCGACCACTTCACCTGCTTGTTGAGCTGCATCAGTCTGAATGGGTTGATTGCTGACGAAATGTCAACTGGCATGCTGCAAGTTCGTTCTGCATTTGCAAAAAGCCTTCATCTCCGACACCAGGGATATATCCAACCGTCTATGATATGACTAGTGTACTGCGCTGCAGTTTGTTTGGTTGGTTGGTTCTGTTATATGGATGTCAGACATGGTCGTTAGAAGTAGATCTGAAGGGGTTACAGGATTTTGACCATAGGTGTCTTTGTAGCGTCGCTAGCGTATGGTGGGATCACTGTATGAGCAATGTTGAGGTTATGCGAAGGATACTAGGCAAGAGAGACAAGTCAATCAGTAAGGTCGTGAGTCTACATCGATTGAGATGGCTTGGGTGTGTTGCGCATATCGATCCATTGCTTTGCTCGATGTGCAATGTTAGTCGAAGTAGGATTGAGTTTAGAAGGCTAAAGATGGCCAGATAGAGATGTGACATAGGTGCAAGAAATCTCTGACAGTTGGTCTGAGCTGTGTGGACTACATGGTTGGGGTTCTTGAGATGATGTGAATGAGTGGTAGAGTAGGAAACCCTTGGTGAAATAACTGAAAATCGGCCACAGTGGTTCAGATGTATTTACTCTGTCGTGTTTAGAATTTCTATTATTATCGCCAACCTATATTGATTATTCCTCTGTCCTCCGTTGTGCTTTCGTGTACTTTATTACTCATTTTTGTGTATTCACGTCTTCTTTTCATGTTTATTTTACATGTGGCAACGTGGACGGGTGAGAAGTTTTAAATTCATTTGACTTCAAACTACTATATCAGCAGAATGGTGCTCGCGCTTATTATTAGTCGTGTACCATCAAAAGAATTACTCGAATTTGATATTGTAACCCATCTTTTGAATCTCCAGGTGATTTTATTTAGGTATGTTAGCAACACCTCGACCGATAGCTGCTACCTTGACGTGGTGGTCGGGCTTGCATATCACAATGACCCAACGAGCTATGCTGGTGGAACGCTTGTTCCCTCGAGGTCCTACCATACCAGAAAGGTCTGTTGGGTAGTGGTTAGACGAAAAGCAGTTACCGTTATAGTGTAAATTGCTATACTATGATGGGGGTCTGAGGGCGAAGTCGTACTGCTGCTAGCTGGATGGGGTGTGACAGCAGTAAGGTGTTTCCCTTGGATGACCAGCAGTGCCAAGCTGATGCTGCCTTCTCAGTGGAAGGGGGGGTTAGAAAAGGTCGGCCCCAAAAATAACACACTCCACCACGCCCCACGGTCTGCCGGGCCGGCGGTGTTGGTTCACTTGTCGTTTCCTTTCGCTCATCCGGCCCCAAAAATACAAAAATTCAAAATAATCATACTCAAAAGGCTGGGTGTGACAGGCCTCAAGCAGATGTCCGATGGGCTCTGCGGTCACACAAATCTCTTTCAGGTACCTTAAGAAGAAATAGCCTTCCACGGTGTGGGCAGCCGGGAAGTGTCAACCGCCCTCACAACTCTGTCAGCACCCAAGTTTCTTCTGACTGCTATCCTCCCCATCATTACCTTCTAATCTTCCTTCACGTCTCTTAATTAATGATGCTGCATCATCTTCAATTTCTCCTACCTCTGCAGCCTTCGACAACGATCTGAGTCCACAGAACAGCATCCCTGGTCTCCTTAAACCACGCTCCAAATTACATATTGGAGCCTTCAATGTCCGCACCCTCCGTCAAATTGGCCAACAGGCTTCGTTGGCAAAGACTCTAGCAACTCGGGCATGGATGTGTGCTGTGTTTGTGAGACACGCATACAGGACCCAAGTGTGGTTATTCACCTGACCTCTCCTGACCAATCTGGTGAATCTGCAAAATTCACCCTTCGAGTTTCTGGAGATTCGATAGCTAGCTCTCGTGGTCTTGCAGGTGTAGGTATAGCATTAAGCACCAGGGCAGAAAACTCACTACTAGACTGGATCCCAGTTGATAGTCGCCTCTGCGCTATGAGGCTGAACGGCACAGTGAGAACTAAAAGGAATAGTGAGACTCGCCGTTGTCTCTTTGTAATCTCTGCTTACGCACCCACTGACTGTAGTTCGGATGAAGTGAAGGACGAGTTCTACCATAAACTGTCTAACCTCCTCTCGAAAGCCAAACGTTCGGACGTAGTGGTTGTTGCAGGTGACCTCAACGCACAGGTGGGTAGACTGAGTGAGGCAGAAAGGCACTTAGGTGGCACTTTCGGAATCCCAGCTGAACGTACAGATAACGGTGATCGCCTATTACAACTATGCTCAGATAACCGCCTATTTTTAGCCAGCACAAATTTCAGACATAAAGAAAGGCACTGTCTGACCTGGCGTCCACCGAGCTCGACTCAGCGATGGACACAGATAGACCACATTGCTATTAGTCATCGCTGGAGAGGATCGGTGGAAGACTGCCGCTCCTTCTGGAGTACGTGTTTGGACAGCGATCATGCGTTGGTCCGAGCACGTATATGCCTGCGTCTCAATGGACGTAGAAAAAATTTGGCAACAAAACCACTACGAGTTCTGCTGGACAACGAAAACACCAAAGCCGTGTTCAGTGAGAAGTTGGCTAGGCAGTTATCGGAACAAAAGACTGTCACTCATCCAGAAGAAGCTTGGTGCCATCTTCAGTCTACTGTAAAAGCAGCACTGGAGACTGTAGCCGACTCCAAGATAATGGCTAAAAAGAGCCAGTGGATATCAGCAGCTTCTTCCAAACTAATGGATGCACG